CCGGGGAGCCGGGGAGCGAGGGATGAGCTGGCTCAGCGTCAGACGGGGCACGGCAGCTGGGACTGGGCCTCTCCTGCCTCAGAGTGACAAGTACTGCTGGACTGAGGGCCAGAACAGACCAGAGGGGGACGCTGAGGCGGCGAGAGAGCATCGGGAGGTGGCGATGGCCCGGGCAGTGCAGGGCAGCTTCCAGTCCTGCCTCCTGGGAGGCGCTCTGAACCCTTGAAATGTAGATTTCCGCCCTCTTCCTGCTTCCTGTCCTGCCTGGCCACTGTGGGCGCTGACCCACCGCCTCTGCCGCCCTGACCGCCAAGTCGAGAAAGTCCTACCCGCCCCGCTCCTCCCGGCACAGCCGTCGTTGATGGACGCGTGCCATTCATGTGCTCCTTCACACTTACGAGAAAAGCGCGGGGTCGCCACTGGCTCCTCCGCTGGCCAGCTGTGTCCCCGAGGGTGGACGCCCGCTGTTTGCTGAGCCAATGAGCTGATGGCTTCACTGCTGAGCTCAGAAAACTTTTAAAGTAGAATTAACACGAATTCTTCTCAAACTATTTCAAGAGAGCCAAATGAGGGGACCCTCCGAAGGTCACTTTATGAATGCCTCCATGTCGACACCGAGAGCAGACGAGGACAGGCACACGCCCCGAGTCTGGGTACAGAGGTCCTTAGAAAACCCTTGCGAGAGAAATCCAGCGACGCATTAAAATGGCTGTATTTTATTTTTTGAAAGAGCTTTTTGCTATAGGGCACATACACTCACTGGAGAGACAGAGAGACAGAGACAGAACACGATAAATCGAACCCCCGTGGGATGGCCACGCTGCAACCCCTTCTCCAATCTCTCCTTAGGATTCACGCATTCACGCCTAATGTGAGTTTTAAGCTCCTGGATCTGGGGCTCTAACCCTGGATGGCCACATGGGAGTTCAGCACCTTAACCACCATGCCACCTGCTGGTCCCAAAAGACTATACACCGTGACCAGGCAGAATGTTCCCCGGGGATGCAAGGACGGTTCGAGCACCGAAGCAGTCGTGGTAACACAGGGATTATGGATGGCCACCCTCCCTGGGGAGTGGCTTCTCACTTTCCCTCTCTTCTATCTCTCTCTGGCGAGCACACAGGCTGCAGCAAAACAAAACAAAACAAAACCGAAAATGCTTCATCATTTAATAAATGGTTATCGGGCACGTCCTCGCCACCAAGAAATCTTCTAATGTCATGGTGCATAGGCGTGTGGCTCTCTCCCGGCTGGTCCAGCTGTCACAGTGCGCGGGTGTGCGGCTCTCTCCCCCGTGGTCCGGCTGTGGCAGTGCACAGGCGTGTGGCTCTCTCCCCCGTGGTCCGGCTGTGGCAGTGCACAGGCGTGTGGCTCTCTCCCCCGTGGTCCGGCTGTGGCCGGATTGTGACCACACTAGGTGTGCGGGCGTGCGGCTCTCTCCCCGCTAGTTGAGTTGGACGATGTTTTACTGATCAGATGCATTACGGTTCTGTACCCCACCCATCACCTGACAGATGGAAACTCAGGAGGCTTCTAACTTAGCATATATAGTTAGCACTGAGTGACGGAATCCCACATCTGCTATCTCGCTAGCTGGTATCATACAGGTGTCTTTGTGCACCTGTTCTATCATTTCCACAGGACAAACTGCCTGGAGAGGGCCATGGGCTAACGGGAGCACACAATAACACTGCTATTAGTTTTCTGTCTGTCTGGCGAGCGCATGCGAAAACCTCTATAGCAAAAACCTCTCAAAAAAAAAAAAAGAGAGAGAGAGAGAAAATGCATGGATTTAAAAGTTATTTATACCAAAATGAACCTGTACTTTGATCCCATTTTACCATGAACTTTTTGAAATCTCTCATATTTTCAAAATTGTGTACACTGAAGTCTTGTTAGAACTTGCTTTAAAGGCATTCAGGCTGGGGCCAGCAGATGGCGTAATGGTTATGTGCTGAACCCCCACGTAGTCAGCTGCCGCTCCAGTCCCGGACCTGGAGACTTACACGCGCCTTGGGCATATGTACGTATGTGCGTGCCCAAGATCCTGATAGGAGAATGGAGAAGGAATTGTGGCGTGGCCAACCCCCTGGGGGGTGATTTCTCGCTTTCTACCTCTCTGTCCCACAAGTGCACACATCCTGTAGCAGAAATGTCTCTTAAAAAAATAGACAACAACAACAACAACAAAGACTTGTCAGACCTGAAGTCTTGTTAAGAGCATGCGTGCCTGAGACCGGCCGTCCGAACAGTTGGGCACCTCGTTAGTGGTCGGTCAGCCAACCCACGGGCCTGGTCCTGGTTCTGGGTTCCGTCTCCACGCCCAGTGCTTCCCTGAAGAGCAGCTTTGGGTAAATTACGCTGTTTGCCAATACACTAGCACCTTCTCGGGATGACGGGAAGCCACTACAGTGGAGCCGCTATGTTCTTAGCCACGTCTTGCCAAATTCTCTAAATGCTAAGGTCTTAGATATTAGAGTTTTGAATTGGCCAGCATTCTTTGGGTTGCATGTGACAGAGGACTGACTTTGTATATTTTTTAAAGATTTACTTATTTAATTTTGTCATCATCATTATTATTATTATTTTGCTACAGGGCACACATGCACACTAGGGAGAGACATAGAGAAGGAAAGTGAGAAAGCAAGCCACCAGATCCTGGACTAGAACCTGGTCGGCCATGTGGGAGTCCAGTGCCTTAACCACCGTGCCACCTGCTGGCCTGAGAACCAGCTTTATTGAGTCTATTTAACGTCAGCGGAGCAGTGATTGCAGAGCTCCTGGGCTGTCCTTCCCGTCTTCCCCCGTGGGGGGCTGGCATGTGGCGTGTAGCCAGGCTCGGGGTCTCCCTCACTCAGAACCTTTCAGACTGGCTCTTCAGCCCAGCCAGGGTGCTCTCCGGCAGCAGGTCAGACCCCGGGAGGTAGAAACGGCAGCCGGCAACCCCCAACCCCCGGCCTCAAGCCCAGATTCTGTGAGGAGGGGCCATCTTCCGCTCAGGGCCCTGAGTAGGCTAGGCCCCCACTCTGGCTCTCAAGACAAGGCCACGACTGTGAGACCCCACTCGAGAAGACCCTCTCCCTCTCCAGGGGAAGCAGGGAGGGTTGCCAACCACAGAGAAGTGAGGGGCACTTGTCTCACTCTAGCAGGACCCATAGGGTCACACGGTAACCTGCTTCTGGTCCCCCTCCGGTGTCGCATAGACCTTGAAGCGTAGCCAGGACAGCAGTACTGCCCAGTTGCAGGGGCCATCCGCAGACAGAGAGGAGCCACCTAGATCTCGGGGTTGGGGGGAGCGGGGACTGCGGCAGCTGTGAACCCCAGAGGGAGCGTGGCAGTGCCCAGTGATGCCCTCCTGCCCAAGCTCTCCTCTGGTCTTTTATCTATTTATTGTTTTAAGAGAGATTTTTGCTATAGGGCACATGCACTTGACGGAGAGACGGAGAGATAGAAAGTGAGAAATCATTCCCATCCCCAGGGGAGATGGCCACTCCGCAATCCCTTCTCCTCCATTCTCCTCCTGGGATTTTGGGCACGCACGCGCACGCACGCACACGCACCTGGCGTGAGTATCAAGCCTCTGGGTCCAGGACTCGAACCGCGGTCCACTATGTGAGCGTCTAGTGATGTAGCCAGGACGCTGCTGCCGGTCCCAAGCTCCCCTCTGTTCCAAATGGAGTTGATCAGTGAGAGGGGTGCTTCTTCCCCCAGAGCCAGGCGGCAAGGAGTGTCAGCTGCAGAGGGTCTGCAGGCAGGAGGCAGAGAGGGCCGGGTGCTGGCAAGGTGGCTGGACCGTCCCCATGTGCTACATGGGGCCTGGGCCATGGAGAACCAGGGCGCGAGCCTCCAGCTTGGTCACTCCCTGCCTCGCTTCCCGACCCTCTCCTGCCCCCGGCAGGCAGGCTCTGCGGGTGGACGGCGGGAACATAAAGGAGACCCTGGCTGAGCTCCCAGGGGCTCTGGCAGGCATCCCGGAGACCAGGGAGGGCAAGGAGGGGCTGCAGAGTCCAAGCCATGGTGCGGGCACAGGGCCGGGGTGCCGCACCAGAGGGGCAGGGAGGAGGTGGCTGTGAGGGGACATCCAAGCCGTCCGGGAGGTCCCGGTGAGGACGGGAGGTGGCGGGGAGCCCGACCCTGTGACAGACGTAGGCGGTGGTGAGTACAGAGGGTGTGTACACGTGACAGGGACAGGCTGGAGACAGGAAAGTCCTCAAATGCCACACTAAGCCAGCCATCTGTCCTGTGCCCGGGGAACTGCAGACACAGAGGCGTCGCGGCGGCCATCGTGTGGCTGGGACTCTAGGTCTGACTGGGCGGAGCAGCCTGGGACTGCAGCAGGAGTTTCCTTCACAGAGGGTTCTGGAAACGTCAGAACAGATGACGGGCCTCAGCTACAGCTGGTCTAGAGAAGCCAGGCCCAGAGAGGCTCAGCCTGGAGGGCGGCCTGGGGGCGCGAGGGAGCAGGGTCGCCCTCCAGAGAGCTCCTGGAAGGGCTTCTTCAGCGTCCACAGGAAGGGAGGCCTGGCTTCTAGGGCAATTCTTAAGTTGATTTACTGGGGGAGAGAGGGGGGCAGGCGGGCCGCAGATGCACACACATGTGCCCAGCATGCACAAGCCGGCCCCGTGGGAACGACCCTCTCTGAGACCGCTGGCGTGGCCCTGTGTGGTGGCACTGTGGCACCCCAGGGCAGGGCTATGGGGTTCTTGGCAGGTCTACATCCGCGGGGCCAGGGTCACAAAGTCGGTAACGAACCTATGCCGTCGATGCAGCGGCGCTAACGCCCTGGATGCCGTGTTGTCACGTGGAAAACCTTTGAACGCGAACCCGCAGGAAGTCGCCGGGAACTGGCAATTACTAGAAAGACTCCACCTGCAGGGACCTTCAGCCCTTCGTGCCACTTCCCCAGGGGACGGGTGACGAAAGGTCGTTTCATGGCCTGGTAATCATTAACCAGCGACTGGGACTGACGTTTCAGACTGGGCGCGGACAGGGGCTGAGGAGTCAGGCAATGAGGCCGACTCGTGGTGAGGTGACCCCTCAGGTGAAGAACCGCAGGCAGGAGCGGGTCACACACCGGTATCTGCCTCGCTGCTTCCCACGGCATCAGGCCAGCAGGAGGAGGGAGTGCCAGCTTCCCTTGCAGCTGCAGAGCCCAGGGAGAAAGGTGCCTCTCCCTACAGAGCTGTCGCTTGAGCAGCTCCACCCAGGTCCCAGGCCCTGTCCCGGAAGCAGGCCCCCAGCATGGCTCAGATCTTGCCTGCCCCTCTGTGGATCAGGCGCGCCTTCGACTGCCTGCTGGCCGAAACCCTCTGCCGCCAGCCCTGGCCATGAGCGGAGGCAGCGTGGGTCCCTGTGCGCGTCCCCCTGTGGTCTGTCTCCTTCTCTGCTTCAGCGACAGGTGGTACCGGGGACAGCCAGGAGCCGGGTGAGCGACTGCGTGTCCAGCCTTCCTTGTGTTTACGGATGGGCAATGGAGATGGTGCAGGAGAAAGCCCCTGGCTGGGCCCACCAGAAGGCCCCTCGAAAGGATGGACTTGACTGGGAGACATGCCTTTAGACCCCTCTCAGTAACCAGCCCTGACCTCCAAGCCTGTGTCGTCAGGTGGCATCTCCAGCAGTCAGAGGCAATTCCTAATCGCAAAGATTACCTTAAGATCTAGAAGGGGGGACCTGCAGGTGGTGTAATGGCTACATCACTGGACTCCCAAGTAGTCAACTGCAATTCGAGTCCTGGGCCCAACAGCTTAAAACTCACAGTGGGTGCTTGCATGCCGAAAATCCCGAGAGGAGAATGGAGAAGGGATTGTGGTGTGGCCATCCCCCCTGGGGGATGATCTCTCACTTCCTCTCTCTGTCTCTCTGGCAAGCTCATGTGCCTTATAGCAAGAATCTCTCTTAAAAAAAAGAATATCTGGAAAGTGAGGGGAGCAGCAGATGGCATAATGGTTACGTCTCTGGACTCCACATAGTCAACTGCAGTTTGAGTCCTGGATCCTATGGCCTAAAACTTGTGCCCTGGGTACGTGTGCATGCATGCCCAAGATCCTGAGAGGAGAACGGAGGAGAATGGATTGCAGCACAGCCATCCCCCTGGTGGTGACTTTTTCACTTTCTGTCTCTCTGTCTTTCTCTGTCTCTCCAACAAGAGCAAGCGCCCTACCACAAAAATATCTCTTAAAAAGAAGACCTGGAAAGGTGGCATCCAGTGAGCTGCTGATTTGAACTGTGCGAGTCCTTAGCATCTTCACGTGACCTGCCAGAAGAGTAAGCACCGCTGGGAGCGTCTGAGGGGCTGTCGCCCCAGACCCTGCTGTCCCCACACGTTCAGGTGAGCAAGTGCTACCCCGGCCAGAGCTATGCCTGGGTCCTTCGGCACCAGCTCTTATTCTGTGCATGGACCACTTGTACCAACACAGGTTAGGACCCCTTCCCATGAAGCCATGGTGCAGCCAGCTCCTGCACCGTCCCCGCGCCGTGCATCCCCGCAAGGGAGGACAGATGGGGAGTGGCAGCGGTGGGCTCCCCGCGCCATTCACTGCCAACCGTGGGCCCAGTCTGGGCTTCCAAGAGGTGTCACCTGCTGGGATAAACAGCAGCCACTCGGTGTCGCTGTGAAGGTGGAGCCGGGTCCTGGGGTTCAGTCCTTAGCACCTGTCGGGACTTACAGGCAAACTTCTGGACACAGAAGCCAGAGTCACAGCCATGACGCGGAGAGAGAGCTCACGTGGGCTAGCGTGAGAGAGATAGAAACCGAGTCCAGAGTTGTGCTGTCTGACTTGTCCTAACCTGGGCGTGATCAGCAGTAGCACTGTTGGCGGCGAGGTTGGACATCTGCGGTAGGGGTGGCCTCTGTGCGTCTCTCCTGGGTGATGGATTCTCCAGAGGGCCATAGAACCTCCCGATTTCTCACTTTCTGTCTCTCTGTCTCTCTCCGTCTTTCTGGTGAGCACACGTACCCTATAGCAAAAAGAAAAAGAAACAATACTGCTTTGCAAAGGCGTTGCCATGACAGAAGTGCCTCGGCGGACCGACTGTCTAGAAGTAGACTCTGAAGTGGAAGCTACGAAGGGGGGTGATGACAGTGACAATGCGAACGAAGACACGCTATCGTGTGAATAATGCACGCGCGTGCTCAGAAGCCAGGCACGCTGGGGGCTCTGCTTCTGTCTTGGCCGGTTTTAGGGCTCTGAGCCCTAGCACATGTCTCCCTGTCGCTGTCTTCGATGGACGGGGCTACAGTGTGGATATCGTTAGGGCTTTTCATGCCTCAGTAAATATCTCGAATAATTGTCCAGAACATGAAAATAAAAGTGTTGCTTGGAAGACCTGAGCAGGGTTCTGGTTCCACAGAGCAGTGGTCACGTGCAACTCAGGAGAAGACGATTCCACATGGTGACCACGGTTCAAATCCCGCCTGTCACCCGAGCACGTGTGCAAGTGCCCGAGCTCCGCTGAGCCGGTGGCTGAGGGAGGGCCGGTGTGACCGGACCCTGGGGAGGGCAGGCGCCTTTCTTCACTCGCTCGTGTGTGTGCACACATGCCGACACCTGAATAGACGCTGCTCGGACGCGCAGTCCTGCCTGCGCAGGGCACGCTGCTGTGCAGCCAGTCTTCCCTTGGCTTGACCTCCTAACGTGTGGGAGAGATTTTCACAGCTAGCTTCTGACTGTTGACTAGATGGTTTCGTGTATTCGAATGCCTTTCTTGAATCCCCCCTGGAGTTTTGGTACAGAGTGCTGCTTGGGCCACCTCCACGGCTCAGCAATGATTAGTGCGCTGCTCAAGAGAAGTTGGATCCTGGACCAGCACGTGCCATAATGGCTAGGTCGCTGGATTCCCACGTGGTCACGTTCAAGTCCTGAACCTGGTGGCTTAAAACTCATGCTGGGTGCTGGTGCATGCGTGCCCCACATCCCTAGCCGAGAATCGAGAAGGGATTGCGGCATGGCCCTCCCCGCCGGGAAGGGGATGATTTCTCGCTTCCTGTCCTTCTCTCCAGCATGTGCACATACTCTATAGCAAAAATCTCTCTTAAAAAAAAAAAAAGAGAGAGAGAGCGAGAGAAGCTGGTCCCCACGTGGCGACACAGTGCAGACCCTGGCCCAGCCTTCCCGGGACGCCTGCACAAGCGTCACTGGGGTGGACCAGGCTCCATGTGATCAAGTGCCCACAGCAGTAACTGCTTAACACGGTGCGGTTTCAGAATGCACAAGGAGACGGGTATCGTGAGAAAACGCAGCATGGGCTTTCTTATTTCGTTATTTGTTTATTTGTTTGGCACTTAAATAAACTCCTACTTTAAGTCCGTTCTCTCCCAGACGTTTAGAAGTCCCCTTGATTTGCTTATGTGGCAGAATGCAAAGGAGCAAACTGTTGAACGCGAAGTCTCTGTTTTTAGAATTCGTCCTTATTACTGGGTTGTTGGGGCAGTCATGACACACTTTTGCATAGAAAAATCTGTCGCGACTTTCCCAGTGACCTAACATCTTAAGTAAAGGCAGACGGTTAGCAGACTGATTACCGTGTCAGTGTTAATAGCTGTGAGATTACTCCGCAATGGAATAAGTGACGCTTACCCCCAGGTTGTGTGCAGTTGGTCCTAGGAACCCCCGGGAGGCTTGTTCTGCTCCACTGCAGCCCGATGTTGGCACTGGCGACCTCTGTCCACCCTGTCCCCGCCCCCGTCTGCATCCAGCCTTTCTGAGGAGGGAGCGCACACACTAATTAGACGGGCAGCTTAAGAAAACATCAGTCATGTGTACGCCCCGCCGGAAAGGCTTACACGTGCAAATCGGCACGCGTCGAGCCTGCCCGGGCAGCCCGGCCGCCCGAGACTGCCAGCCTCAGGCTTTACCTCTCGCTCGCCAGCTGCCCGTTGCCTGCTCTGTACCTGACGCACTGCCTGCAAGTTCGCAACCGCGTGGGCTGAGACCTGCTTTGCAGTGATGGGACTGCTTCTTTGCAGATGGAGACCCAACCTGACAAAGGCCAGTGGACTGGATTGACCGATTGCAAAATCTGCCTCAGCTTTTGGAATTCTGAGGTTGGCTTTAAAAGGAGTTAACTTGGGACCAGCAGGTGGCATGGTGGTTAAGGCACTGGACACTTCCACATGGCCGACAGCGGTTCAAGTCCTGGACCTGGTAGCTTGCTTTCTTACATTCCCTCTCACTCTCTCACTCTGTGTCTGTCTCTCTGGTCAAATTAAAATGAAGTGAATGGGGAACCAGCAGTTAGCGTAATGGCTATGTCGCTGGACTCCCACGTAGTCAACCACGGTTCGCGTCCTGGACCCGGTGGCTTAAAACTCACGCCGGGCGCATGTGCGTGTGTGCCCAAGATCTCTAGAGGAGAATGGAGGAGAAGGGATTGCAGCGTGACCATCCCCCCGGGGGATGATTTCTCGCTTTCTGTCTCTCTGTCTCTGTCTGTCTGGTGAGCGCACGTGCCCTATAGCGAAAACCTCTCAAAAAAAAAAAATTAAGTGAATGAAGAAATAAAATAAAATAAATAATTCTTAAAAAAACAAAAAGGAGTTAACTTCTTGTATCACATAAAGAAAACCTCACGTGTTAATGGTCGGCTTGTGAAATACGGCATTTTCTCTTCTGCCCCGCTCCTGGCAGGATTGTCTTCGCTGGACGGAACCAACATGTTGGTGAGGCTCAGCAGTGAGAGCCAGAGAGGGCGGAAGGGGAGAGGCTCCGCTTCTCAGCCCTCTGACTGTCCTGGGCTGGCCGACTCCAAGCGCTCACCCTCAGCTCCCGGATGTCCTCGGGAGGTTCTGGTAGCACTGGATTCTCACAGGCTCGTGGGTAACACTGTCTCAAACTCACGCATAAGAAGTACGTTTCAGAACGCAGCTGCACTGAGGTCCGGCCCTCCCGGGCAGTGAGGACAGGCGGGCCTTGGCATCGATGCTTTCTTGCAACCTCTGCTCCAGAATGTAAGGTGTGCACACCCCTTGACTGACAAGTCATTCGCAGGCGTGGATCTCCCTGAGGGGTGACCGGACAAACACGCAGAGGACATACGTAAAGGGTAAGTGACCCTAGTAGACCAGTCAGCTCTTCAGTACAGTGACAAGCGAGATGACTGTCAGGAGACTGGCTGAGATAAGCTGTACTGGTGGTGTGTGCTACGGTCAACACGTGCCAGGCAGGCGTTGGGAGACCCCTTCTGTGACTCCTCACAGCAAGCAGCGATCCCGTCCCCTCTGAGCTGTGAACAGAGATGAAGCACCTCCCGATATTTCAGGGCGGCCATCAGGGCTTGGGCACGCAGAGAGAGGCCGCTCGGTGCCGTGGAGTACCGAATCCACGGCGTGAGCCCTGGCGGGAAGGCGGGGACGGCCAGCTGCGGAAGGTCGTTGGCAACAGCCCTGGATGGTGGCACCACTGGGGAGAGACCCACGAAAGAACAAGAACCTCCGCAAGGTCCCTCTGAGCCCTCCGTCCCAGGGCCCCGGTGGGTGACCCCCAGAGGCTTACGGGAAGCTGCCCATGGTCTCCCCTCCGCTGTCTGCCTACAGTGGCTGGCCGGGGCCCCCCCCCCAGCTGTGGGTCTCGTCCCCCTGCCTCCAATGGGCAGGGTGGTTGGGAGGTCCAAGTGGGACCACGAGTTCCAGGCAGAACACGCAGGCAGCTTGGACCCAGGGGTAATGCTGGGCAAGTCGGGGAGAGAGATGGCTTCCAGCTGGGGGTGTGGGCAGAATCAGGGAAGACTTCATGGAGTAGGTGGACTTCGGTTGAGTTGGAAGGACCGGTAAGTTTGGATCAAAGAGAACATGGAAACGCAGGGAACTCCAGGGGTATGACGAAGGCCAGAGAGGCACAGAGGGCTGCTTGGTGAGTGCCGGTACACGAGATGGCACTGTGATGGTGAGGGGCACGTTCTTGAAGAGCAGCAGGATGGAGGGGAGAACCTAGAAAGTGGTCCCTGAGGGCCACCAGCCCGACCGGGAGCCGGAGCACATTCTACAGCACAGCGGTAACCACGGCGAACGATAACTCACGCCTCCCTCGAAGCAGCTGGAAATGAGGTCTGCGGTCTTCTCTCGCAAAGCTACGACCCACGTCTCAGGTGACGGCCTGTGCGAAGTCCCGGCTTGATCCCGCTGCGGTCAGGGGTCGAGAAAGCGCATGATTACTGCGTCAATTCAAACAGTCGAGAGGGAGCCAGCAGGTGCCCTGTGCTCACGGAGCTGGACTCGTGGGTGGTCAGCTGCAGTTCGAGCCCCAGACCCAGCAGCGTGAGACTCACACTGGGCACATGTGCGGCATGCCGAAGTCCTGAGAGCGGACAGAGGAGACGGGGCTGCAGTGCGGCCATCCCCCGGGGGCGATTTCTCACTTTCCATCCCCGTTTCTCCTACAAGCATGTGCGCCCACAGCAAAAACCTCAATAACGACACCAAAATATACGCATGTGTGTGTAATTTAGAAACTCAGCTGAAATACAGTCGTACAACACACTTTATTCTCGTTTATGGTGCATTGCCATTTTACCCCTTCACTAGTCTGACCTTTCATCACAAGAACTGCATTTTATGTAACAGGTGTGAAAATGCGTGAGACAAAGATCAAACCTTCGAATCTGTAAATCAAATGTGGAGCTTATCACCGTAATAAAATCTGCCCACGCGCTTGTACTTACTGTCCAACTGCCGTGTGAGCGTGCGAGGGCAGGGTGTGGACGACGGTGCAGCTGGTACTGCTAACCTCACGGAGCCCTCGGTGCGGCCCCAGACTGCGCTGAGTCCTGCCCGCTCTCCTGTCGGCGCCCAGGGCGCCGTGGTGAGCCCTGCCCACCGGCCCCCGGGGTGGCTTATCTGCTGAGTCTCCTAGGAGATGAGCAGCCTGAGGGCGGCTGCACCTGCCTGGGCAAGGAGTGAGGCGACCCCAGGCGGGGTGAGGAGAGGCGATGATGGTTAATGGACATAGGGCCAGCTGTCCACCTCAAATGGAAACAGGACGCCACGCCCCTCAGCCCTCAGCCTCCCTGTCAGAATGACTGTGGAGCAAGACAGGCCAAACCAAACCGCCCAGCATGTCTACGAAAGCCTGTCTATCCTTGTGGGTGCTTACTCTTCAGGCCTAAGGTGGCAGCCAGGCATCCAGAATTTTAAATGTTAACAAGAGCAAATATGAGACCAGCAGATGGCGTAATGGTTATGTCGCTTGACTCTCACATAGTTGACCACAGTTCGAGTCCCAGACCTGGCTGCTTAAAATTCACACTGGTGCATGTGTGTGCATGCCCAAAATCATGAGAGGAAAATGGAAGAAGAGGGATTATGGTATGGCCATCCCCCCGGGGAGTGGTTTTTCGCTTTCTGTCTGTCTGTCTCTTCAGCAAGTGCATGTGCCCTATAGCAAAATCTCTCTTAAAAAATACAAGAGCAAATGTGATGCAGAAGCAGGACGCAGAACCACCACCCCCGGGCTGGTGTTTGTAAGATATGGAAGAATTTCTCTCTAATCACATGAGCATTACATAAAAAACTCATGGAATACACAGGGCAAAGGGCAGCCTGCAGCGTGGATACCGCATGGCTGAGTGCACAGTTTGATTCCCAGACCTGGTAGCTTGAAAACATGCCAGGCGTGTGTGTGAGTGCCCGAAATTGCAAGAGGAGAGTGAAGGAGCAGGGATCGCGGAGCACCCATCCTCCTGGGGGGGAGTTCTCAGTTTTCCTCGCTGTGATTTGTTGGTGAGCTCATGTGCCCTATAGCAAATTTAAAAATAAAAAAATAAATACACAAAGCAAAATCAAACAGGACACATTTCCATTGTCCCTACTGAAGGTACTTCCAACTCACATTTGTAGACCCACCGACGGAAGCAGCTCCTGTGGTATGAGACGGGGAGAACAGGAAGGTGGCATTTCGGCAAGGCTGAGTACACGCGCCTCTGGGCAGGCAGGGTGTCTTCCGGCCCTCCATGACTGCACATTAGGCAAGGCCACGGGGCCCACCATGTGACAGGCCGCAGGGCCCTCGTAACTGGCCCTGCTCTGCTGTTCCCGGTGGGGCTGGTCACTGTCCTGTCTGTAGCTCTGTCTTCCCACCGGGACCCCCTGGCAGTTTGGTCTGGAGTAACTCACTTCCCTTTGACAGTGGAAAGATTTATTGGTCTGTCCCCTCAGGGCGCTCCCAGCCCTTCCTGCTAAGGAGCTAATTTAGATTCCCTGAAACTCATGCTTTACCTTCCCTGGAGCCACAGTGACAGCGACAGTGACCACGACTGTCTGACTGCACCATGGGCTAACTCAGCCAGCACCTGCCACGGGCCTTTCCAGCCAGATTCCGCAGCTCTTGTGGTTGACCCCGGAACCAGGCCCAGAGCCGCCCTCCGGACAGCACCGGAAGGTTGGCCCGTCACCATGCTAAGAAGTCAGCAGACAGCAGTAATGCCCCGTGCTGCCTCTCCTTGTTACTGTGAAGATTGTTTTCCTTGTCTTCAGCCTCGAGAGCTGGACATGACGCTCCAGATGCAGCCCGCCCCGCCTCCTGCCAGGGCGTCCCGGCTGTGGAGCAGGGCTTCTCCTCGAGTCGGAGCGCCCTCTGGCCCTTACTCCTCCAGTACGAGCCGGCCCTCTCCCCTCCTTCAGGGACTGCTACTACACACCTGTGGGAGAGCCTCACGTGTCCCACACGGCCCAGGGCCTCTGTCCTCCTTTCCTGTCCTTTTCCCTTTCTTTTCGTCAGCTGGTACCGTCTCTATGGGCCTCCCTTCACGTTTGCTCATTTTTCTCCTGCCAGCTCAAATTTTCTTTTTGACCTGTAAAGTTTCTGTATTTTCCTCTCTTTTAAGCTTATTATTTACTAAGTTTATTCTTTCATTTCATGAGAGAAAGAGCAAAAGAAAAGGGAGGGGCACTAACAAGGTCTTCAAGCTGGGCCCCACCCCCCCAGCGCCAGCAGCTGGGGTCACAGGCATGACGCCCACACCTAGCGTGGTCAGGGAGCCCCGGTGAACACAGGGCCCACCCCATGCCAGCCCGGCTGTGTCACGTGCACGCCACCTGTCCCAGTGTGCACGTTCCCCAACTCCAGATTTTCTAGCTGGTTCCTTTTGACAGCAATCTCTATCTTTCAGTTGATATTCTCCACTTGATGAG